AAAAATACAAAAAAAAAAAAAAAAAAAAAACCTTAAAGTTGAATATTAGACATCCATGAGCTTAAAAATAAAAAGACCTTTAGCCATTTCCACCCAGTGGGCTCCAGCCTTCTGCAAAGGGGCCGGACCACCTCCCCCATCTTCTCTTGGGAAGTAAATCTAAATTCTGGACAGTCGCTTAGCCCACCATTTGTTCTGTGCTCCCTTTCGAGACCCTTCCTTGGGGTCTCCTTCCCCTCATGGGCCACAAAGTTATTTTCCTCATTTAAGAACACTTCCTTGACCATTTCTGAGGCCTGAGGATGAAACTCTAAGCATTGTGTCTGTGCTGGACAGTTCCCACTAAACTAAGAGCCCGTGGCCTCCTTATGGGCTCTGGGAGACATTAGAACAGAGCTTTTTTTTCCCCGCTAAACGCGAGTGCGCGCCCGTGTATGTGTGTTATGTGTGTGTGCGCGCGTGCGCGCTTTCCTGGTGGGAAGAACAGTCAGTGCAGGCTTTAATATACCTAAGTTATCACCACTCACTGAGTGCTAACGTGAGCTAGGTACAGTGCTACTCCTTCACATATACTCTGTCACCTTTCTGCTGATAGCAACCTGAAGTCAGAGCCATTTTCTTCCCGTTTCACAAATAGGGTTATGAAGGCTCTGAGAGGGTAAGCTGTTTGCCCAAGATCACATAACTTAGAAGGAGTCAATTTGGCCCTCCAGCAACCTGGCTCTAGGGTTTTAGTTCTTAAGAACAACTTACATAGAGATTGAACTCTTTGGGGAAAAGCTCTTTGTTTTCATTTTTGGAGTGGACATAACAGACAATGTAAGAAAGAGTCAAACACAGTGGTCACTGGGCATAACTGCCCCTGGGGTAAAACACACCACTGCTCTTTCGCACATTCCCCCTCTGTGCAGACTCAGCCCAGGTGAGCACTGGTGAACCAGTGGAGCCCTGCACCAGGCCCAACGCTGAGGACTGTCAGGAGCTCCCTGCTGCCCCCACCCCTGCTTATATGAAATGCCTGCCCTCCTACTTCCAGCCCGTTCTCACCCTGCCCACTGTCCTCTGAAGCCTACAGCTGGTTAGAGGGCACAAGTGATGGATTAAGCACAAATAGTCTATGAGCAGCCTGATACAGCCGCCACTGATCCTTACTCCACTGGCTTTAGTCCCGAAAGGGCAGAGTTGATATCCACACGCACATGCATGCACATGCACCCTAAGGTCCTTCTGTGTGAGTTTCTCTCATTAGGAAGATCATCCCACTCTATGGAAGTTCACTGGGGGCCCCTGAGGCAATCTGCTCAGTCACTGTCAGACGCCAGGAGACAGGAGGTCTGTTTCCACGTCCCTATCTCAGTGACGCTCCCTGCTAGCTCTAGATGTGTTGAGAGGGCAAAGGGGTCCACCCTAGAGGGCTCAGGGCCCTCACTCACCTCCCAGGCCCCAATGGCAAGGATCACATTGCCTTGTATGTGTGCACTCCTTCAGCACATGTTTACTGAGCACCTGCTATGTTCCAGATGTGGTGTTTGGTTTACAGAAAGCAACAGACCAAGGAAGCTACAGTCTCCACCCACAGAAGCTGAGTCTAAGACGAAAGACAGACTCAGAAGCAGACAATTACATGTGCTTCTCTGTGGTCCACAGCAGCTCCACCATTTATTTCTAAAAAAAAAAGCAAAGATTAAAGATCAAAAATATTTACTGCTTGTTTCAAACACTTCCAGGATCTCCCTTCACAAGGAATAAAACCCAAAGACCTTGCCAAGCAAGGGGGTGTTGGGCTGCAGAGGAAGTTGGATTGCCTGGCCACACTCTGGCCCCCACCCCAGTCTGGGCAGCTGGCCCGACCAGGATCTAGCCCCTGCTGCCTCCGTACCTTAGCCTGTGCAGCTCTTGCTCTCTGTACCTGGCACACACCTCCTCTCTGCACCTGCCCTGCACTCAAACCTCCCTGCCTCTACTCAGAATGCCTTCCCTCACCTTCCCCGGGCGGGAGAGGCTTTCCCAGTGACTCTCAGCACCCCTCACTGCCTTGAAAGCACTTGCCATGGTCTACACATCCTGTTATGTGCTTTGTTTCCCTCCTCAATGAAATGTAAGCTCCCCAGGGACCGCATCTGTCTTGGTCAGTGATATGTTCCCAGTGCCTGGCACAGAGCAGAAATTAAGTAAATATTTGCTAACTGAATGGAAAAAATGCATTAATACTCTAAGCAAGTTAGTTTACTTCTCTATGCCCCTTTCCTCATCTTTCAAAGGGGGACACCACAATACCCACTAGGTGAGGATTAGAAGAGGTGACAGGGTGCCTGTGTTCTGGTACCATGTCACAGGTATCCAAGGGGTCAGGAATGGAAGGCTTCTGCCGCATAAGGGCAGGTGTGGCTAACCCTTCTGCATGAGAAGGGGTGAGTGCACACCAGGTCCTGAAGAATGTAACAGTTCTCCAGTGGGAGAAGGGCAGGGCACAACTGGCCAGGGGAACATTTGGTGCCAAGACCGAAAGGCAGGGAAGGGCACCCACCTCGGGCCGCAGGGCAGTCAGTGTCAGAGATGCCTAGCAGGAGAGGCGGGCCAGGCCAGGGCTCCCACTTGCCCCCATGGCCGCAGTCTGCACTGCACCAGGGGAAAGGCACCTACGTCTGCATTCCTGTGGCTGACTAGCCTGGAACTTACGGCTGTAAGTACATGACTTTCCATTAAGCTACTGAGGTCAGGTCATAAAGAAAAGGGAAAATGCACAGCCAACACTTGGCCCCCACACCTGCACTGACTCCTTTCCACCCATAACACAAAAGATCATCTCCTTGACTCGTGCATTTGTGCCACGGCCAAGAGGCTGCTCACACATCCTTCCTGCGTATTTACCTAGAGGTTCACAGTCAAGCTAGAAGTGTAGGTATAAGGTGCCCCTTATCCAAATAGCCTGAGGGGAAAGGTGCGGGGAGAGGGCAAGGCTCGTGACAGTGACCAGGGGTGGGGTGGGACAGGCTCACACAAACCCGCCCACGGACACGTGAGCACACGTGGTCTGCTCAGACACTCCTGGACCCCAGGCCCCACCTCCACATCACATCTCTTGACGCGAGCCGGCCCCGCATAGAGTGCAGTTATGTAACTTGGCACGAGGTCTAGCAGCCATCCAGAGGCGTCTGCTTAAAGTTGCTTCTTGATGAGAAGAGGCAGTCCTGGCCTGTGAGGTAGGAAACTGGATAGCCAGCTTCTTTTCCCCATCTGGAGCACTGGCCAGCCCTCATGCTATCTGCTGATCTAAACATTGCTTATCTAAACCCTTTAAGGGGCAGCCCCTCTCAATCGCAACCTCTTCCCTGGATCTTCCACACCCTGCTCTCTACCATCTCTGAACTCCAGTTTCTGTGAGGACCAGCCAACCCCACTTAAGAGTTAGCCAATCTGGCTTTTTAGACTGCGAGCTCCTGCTATGAATAACAATGTATATTTATCAAACACATTTATGTGCTCGGCACTATGCTAGGCACTCTATGTATACGAGGTAGGTACTCTTATTATACCCATTTTACAGATGGGGAAACTGAGGCACAGTGAAATTAAGTAACTTGCCCCCCAAGGTCACATAGCTAGTCAGTGGCTGAATGCCAGGATTTCAATCCTAGCTGTTTGACTCGAGCCCTTGATCCTAACCACCATAACACCTCCTAAATGCTATTTTACTCACTTTTGTATTCCCATAATATATCTCCCTGAGTGCTGGACACAAAGTAAACACTGGTAGTTTGACTCTTCTTCCCCTTCTGCTCCAGGTTGCTGGAATTGTGGTTCCTGCTGTGGATGATAACAGAGGGCCACTAGATGGCAGCAAAGAGCCAGGCCCAGGCCCCACTGAGGGAAGGGAGGGATAAACTAATTAACAACACTTAATTAGTGCATCTTGCACCAGGCACTTTTATAGACATTAGCTCTCTTTCTCACTAAGGCCTTCTAAGGTAGGTACTATTGCCTTCCCTTTTAGAGAGAGCAAAGGACACTAAGGCTCAGACAGGTAGAGAAATTTGCCCAAGGTCAGACAGCTAAAAAATACCAGGACTGAAGCCAGGACCACCAAAACCCTAAGCCCATGCACTTCTCAAAAGAGATGAACCAGGGAACCCTTCAATGGTTCCCTCAAGGCCCAGAGAGGGTTTCACCCCCCTCCTCCACCCACAGAGAGTACAGAAACTACTACTGTCTGGGGAGGGAGTGGACAGTCTGGACTGACTCCGAGGCAGTCACCACCCAGCAGGCACCCCGGCTGGGGGTGGAGGGGAGCCCAGGGAGGACTCACAGATCATCAGAACTGGGTGGTCTCAGAGACCACTGGTGCACTGCAGACCTCTGACCCATTTTCTTGGCCTTCACCCCCCACAAAGGATGCTGTGTGATACCAGCCTCACCACCTAAACTCTGCAGGCTGGCTTCCATGCCACCCCTCTCACCCTCCCTGTCTCAAGCTCCTATGATCTGCGACAGCTACTCCGAAGCAGCCAGCATGACCATGGAATCTATGCCCACTGGGGATGGACGGATAGAAACTATCTAGAGAGCTCTGGCTGTGTCCCCTTCCAACCTTTCCAACAACTGTCACCTCCACACCCCAAATCCAACCCCCGGGCTGGACCAAGCCTCTCTGCTAACTGTGCTGGGGAAGGGGCAACAGAGGTGGCCAGGGCCGTGCACAAGTCCCGCACGTGCACACATGGATATGCACAGAACCCGCGAGCCTATCCCCGGGTCTCCCAGGGTGGCCAGCAGCAC